AAATAAATAAAAAAAGGCGACCAGGGAAAGAAGGGAGAATCACTGCAACATCTCTTGCGGAGCGCATGCTTCAAGCATAATGACGGCAGAAACAAGCACGACCCATCACACATATATGCGTTTGTATATATATAAATATATACAAATAGATGTATACACATACACGCACGCACATATGAATGGGAAAAATGAATCCTAGTCGAAAGAAAAAAACTTACGTTCCCACTTCAAATACATGCTAACACCACTCTACCAAGCCCTTCATATCTGCGACAAACACACACACACACACAGAGTCACACATTCAGAAAGCAAATACTGAACAATGAAAAGCGGCGCCAGTTGCGGCCCTTTCAGCGTTTTTGTTGTTGTTGTTGTTGTTGTTGGGGGGTTTTACTTTCGCCTTTCAAGAAGAAATGCGTGCCGTGGTGAATACGTTCGCAGACAATAGCAATAGGCAAACGGTGAAACGGGCAGCTAAGACGCAGCGTAACCAACCCCACCAAAGTATTCTCTCGCCCACACTTCTTTTCCAACCTGAATTTCAGATGGGAAAAGAAGTCATAGAATTTCTACGTTCGAGAGTCACCAAATCTATGAATTAGGTACTGCCGCGTCTGCTTCGCCGTCTGCGCGGCCTCCGTGGCGCCTTGTGAGCCAAACGTTTGCATCAGTTTCGACACCACACGTGGGAGGGAGGTGTTAAGAACGATCGTCTGGTTGTTCACAAGCACCCCGTCGTTCACCGGGTAGTACAGCAGCACCGAGCGAACCTTCACGGTGGAGTCGGTCTTGTGGATATTCTTCTTGGTGCGCTCGAGTAGCAACACCTTGGCAGGAAGCATGCCATCCACGTCCTTGAAGGTAGACAGCACCCCCGGGTCCGTGATCTCGCTCACCTTCATCTGTATGGTGACGCTAAAGATAAACTTGATGACGGACTTGACCGTGCGAAACGTGTAGGGTGTGTCGGGGTTCTCAAACTTGTTTTCGCCCGGTTGGCAGTTGCGCTGGTAGTCTAATGAGGCGACAAGGTCGGTGGTGATGTGCGACATGCGCACCCCTGGAAGAAGATACATTGCTTTCACGAGGATGCCCACGTACGCGCTCTGCTCCTCTGCAGAATAAATGTCAATTCTGGGAACATTGTTCTCCTGCTCCTCGTCGGCAAAGCTCGTCAGGTTGATAAAGGTGGCTATCATGTCGATAGTATCCCGGTCTACGTTCGGTATAGGGGAGCAAACAAAGCGAAAGAATACATTGCCTGCGTTGAGGTGATCGGCAGCGCCCGGTAGTGACAGGAAGTCCCACGTGTTATTCACCACACGCGCCTGCACGTTGGCGGTGAGGCTAACCTCGCGCGCGGTCAGCGCCAACATTTGATAGTGCTCCGCCACCGGTGAGCTACTCGCAACCTCCTCCTGTGGCGAGAAGAGGGCAGTCGAACTGCTCTCGCGCTGCCGCATTGGGGACTCCTCTGGCGTGGCTGCCCCATCTTCTACCTGTAGGTCAATGTCTTTGGCATGAATGACGAGCACTTCACGGTTGTTCTTCTGTTGCTGCTGGCGTGGTGCGACGCGGTAACGCCGAATAGTCGGCATGATGCGCATTAACGCCATCTGGAAGAGCGTCGTGTTTATCTTCCATGCGCCAAATATCTCTTGACGACAGAGCTGCTCGAGTTCAATCAGGCGTGAGATGCGATCCGCCGGACACGGAGCACTTTCAAAGTACTGCTTCTGCTCCTTGGTGAACTGGTCGCTGCTCCGTAGCGTGGTAGAAAGGCTCGTACGCGCCCGGCTTCGGCTAGACGCGGAGACGGCATTAACGCTTTCTTCAAGGATATTTCTCGGTTCATTTACACTCATCTGTAAGACATCATGTACGAACTGATCAACATGACCGGCCAGTACGTCATTTAGCCCGTTAGTGACGAAGCTCCTGCTCAGATCATCACGCATTGTGGCTGAAAGACTCTGGCTACGACCATCCGGTAGACTGACGCTACAGTCACTCACAGTGTGGATGCTCTGGTCCATGGCAGCAGCGCAACCACTCCGTGTGAAACTCAGTGTGAGGTTTGCCCCTCTTTCCGGCACGACGACATCGAACTCGACGGTCGGTACTGAGACCGCCGGCTCCACATGGCGGCGAGGGCGGCCAGTGTCGTCGACGATCGGCATCACGCCCTTGCCGCAGCATATCCCCATTATGCCGAGGAAAGGAATCTCACCAAAATAATAACAGGCGCTACACGCGCGAGGAAACTGATGTTGTAGAATATGAAATGAGGAAGGACAACAAATACGTACTTCAGCCTCTCTTTGCCTAGCTTTTTGGAGGAGGGGGCTTTACAAGGGGGAAGAAGGAGAGAGAGATGGGCAGAAAAGCCTACGTGCCGGCCACAAGCTCTCCCAGGCATGTGCGTGTGTGTGTGCAACGGCGATTGATTGAAAGCCGGTGGCAGTGCAATGAACCCACCCACACACACACAGGGAGAGAGAGAGAGAGGAGAGGGAGAGGCAACAGGAGGCATGATGACACGTCAAGCCAGCAACTCCTTGCTGACGCCGAAGGGCACGCGGCAAAGCGTATCGTCACTCTCCACAAACACAACGTCCGCGTCATGTGCGTTCATTGCGAGGATGTTGTGCTTGATGCCCTCTGCGTGGTAGAAGCCCCACGGCACAATCACTTCACCGTCGCACTCGCGGTGGAACCACTCCACACACCGCAACTGCGCCGCCTTCGCCACCTTCGCTTCGCGGCGACCACGCACAGCGGGGTGGACCCCGAGACGACTGATAGGAATGCATGTGTCGCCGTTGCCGCTGCCGCTGCTGTTTTCATCCAGCAGCAGCGCCTCCACCTCCTTCATGTTGAGGTCCGCATCGTTGCGCAGGTAGCCGCCCACAAGCGCAGCCATCTTCGGTTTCAAGTAGAAATCCTGCAGACGCACCGTTGCCTGTGCCTTCACGAGGGGCTCGTACTTGACGGAGAGCTCTTCGCATATGGCCTTCATTGTCTCCTCGTTGTAGAGCGTGTTCTGATCGGCTTTATGCAGCATGATGGCCTTTAGCTCCTCGTTCCGCGCAATCTCAAAGTACTCCTCCATCTGCTGCACCTCGCCCTCCTCATTGTCGCAGATGCCCTCGAGCAGAATGACGACGTTGTCCCGCTGCTTCACCGCCTGCACCATGTAGTCGAGCACCTTGTCGTAGAACTCCACCGATGCGACGTGGAGGGTCGGGATGAGCGTGATGCACTGCGCCGGGGCCGGCGACTTGGGGGGCTTCGCGGCGTTCTCGCGCACCGCCCGCGCCAACAGACGCGACCAGCGGCTCCCAGTGATGGTGAGCTCGTCGATGGGCGAGCGCAGAAGTCGCACGCGACGCAGCATCTCTCTTGCCGACCTCGCTCTATCCTTCTCTGTTCCTTCTTCGCACACGTACTCTCTCTTCCTGATTAATCCTTTTGTTCTTCTTCTTTTTACTGTTGCTGCTGCTGCTGCTGTCTTCGTTCCAATAAGACGATGTGCAACGCAAGGCGTTCAGCCACTCCTCTCGCCTCCAGGAGCCACACGCACACACACATGCAAGCAAAGAGAGAACAGGGAACGAGAAAGTAAAGCACATAAAAGGCATGGTCCAATGACAACCTTTACACCACAGGGGCGACAGTATCAGTGGCAGAGTAGGAAGGGTGCGTAACACCTTCGCCCTCCTTGGGAATACAACGGTAGCGCTGCTGACTGCATCACGCGGCCTGAGCACTGCGCTCACGCAGCTTCGGCACCAGGCTCCTTTCAATACGAGCCTGGTGTTCCCCACGCAGCCCCGACAACGCTTGCAGCACCGCACACAGCTCCATCGCCTCGCCCCTCGAAACCCCGACATCGCGCCGAATAAGCTCTTGCACAGCTGCACCCACCGCAGCATCCGCCACCAACTTCCCCAACGGGCCGCAGAGCTGCAGCAGGGCGGCAAGTTCACCATACGTATACTGCGGCAGGGAGGCGATGATCTTAGCGGAGAGAAGGTCCACGCACCGTGCTGTGCGCGGGAACGCCTCTGTCAAGAGTATAACGTTGCCGCCGAGGTCTTCAACGGCTTTGTGGAATACTGCCAGATGCTGCAGCTGCACAGCAGGTGACACATACGCGGAGGCGGACTCCAGCAGCGCCACCATCTGGCCCATGAGCTCCCGCAGCACGTGTACTAATGCAGACTGCCGCTGCTGTGCGAATTGCAGCTCCTCCACGCGTTGTCGCAAGACCAGATTCATTGTCGCCTCTGGTGCTGCTGCTGTTGCTCCTACTACTCCTACTTCTTCTCCTGAAGCGGCAGCCACCCTGTCCTCCGTGGAGACGAGACACATGGAAGTGTAGTCGTCCATGTAAGCCGCAAATACACTGAGCAACTCACTCGGCGTGAAATCCGTCGCGAGGAACACCACACGCTCCTCCATTGCCTGGGCGAAGGCGATTATACTGTGGACAGCTGTGAACATCATCGCTGTCGACCGAGCACACGTCTCATCAAGGCGCGCAAGAAACAGACGAACCGCGCCGCCCTCCGTGACGGGGTCCAACGCGTCCCGAATCCTCAGTGCTGCGCACAGGGCGGCGATGTCCAGAACACTCAGCTCCGCCATTCCCGCCACCGCCGTGCGCTTCATGGCGTCGAGGAGCGACACGAACTGCCGCTGAACCCCCGGAGCGCATGCACCCAACGTGTCCATCAGCTCCACGGCCTGAGCTGCGGTGAGACCGCCGCGTGCCGCCTCCGGCTCGATTGCACGCATCACGTTGTGAAGGAGTTCCTGCGGCGTCGCGTCATCACAGACAGCGCTGACGCGGATGCATTCCTCCACGGAAAGCTCCGGCACCGCCGCGACGAGGGCGCGCGCAACGTGCTGGAACAGCGTGCTGCTTTGCTTGCGCAGCGATGGCAGCGCGGTGAAGAGATGCACGAGCTCCACCGGCGCTAACTCGTCGAGCTTCAGCAGCAACTCCTGCATCACGCGATCCATTTGTGCCGTGTCCCAGAACCCAAAGAAGGAGCCACACTCGACGTACGCGATCATGTCCTCCGGGCGGGCGTGGCGGATGTCGCACAGCTTCCCCGAGAAGTACTTGTATTCCCCGCGCAGCAGGTTTTGCTCGTGAAAGTCCCTCGTATCGGTGTAGCGCGCCTTGACACGCACCATGCGGCGCGCAATGTCGGCAATCGGCACGGGACGCTCCGACAGCAAGTAGTTGCGCTTCGCGTGCTCGAGTTCAACGAGTGTGCCTTGCCGCCAGAAGACATAGCCGGGTGTCCGCTTGCTCCACCGGCAAAGCGTGCGCAGCAGCATGGCGTCTCTCCCTCTCGCCTCCTCCCTACTCAGTTTACGCTGGATGAGGGCTGCGTGCCGCAGCAGAAGTGTGTGAGCAGCTAGACAAATGAACACATACAAGAAAGAAGCGAAGCATACGCAAAGACCCCCCCACCCCCACCCACCCAGCAGGTCGATTCACAGAGGCAGACACACACACGCACATACCCCACACACAGACGAACTGAGAAAACAGGGACTCGGTACACCGGCAAAAAAGCCGATTCACACCTACAGGTAGCAGTGTGGGAGCATCAATGAGGCCACGCCGCTCCGCTTTCTGTTGCTGTGCAGGGCTCCCCGACGGGATGACAAACCCCAACGCAGCGCTGCCACCCACTCCACCACGGCACCAACGCCGTCGTCACTGAAGTACACCTCCATGCCAACCACGCACGGCACGCCCTTCTCGAGGAAATCGTAGTTACATGGTGTCATCCCAGACACCTGCTTGCAAACGACCCAGGAGCGCTGCACCAGCGTCAATTCAACCGCCTGCGCGTAGTCCAAGTCGTGGTCGGTTTTGAGATCCACACCCAGCGCGACCACGACCACGCGGGCTGGGTGACACCACTCACGAGGAGGCGACGCTGACGACAAGGAGTGAATTGCGCGGGAAAAACACGTTGACTCCACACTGCTGCATCAGTTCCCGCAGGAGACTTCGGCACACAGGTGGGGCCTTGAGTAGGCTCGGGAACGCCAGGAGCTTGTTGCGTGGGAGCTGCTCGAGCCCTGTTGCTCGCGCAATAAACCACCGAAACGACTATCGCGCAAACAGACAGCCATCGTTGTTGCCGTTGCTGCTGCTTCGGCGGCACCTCGTCGTATGTGGCCGAACTGGGAGGCATTTTATTGTTTGGCCCAAGAGGGGACCGTTACGATGGCAGCACAAGCGGACCCAAAAGAGTGTCGACTACACCACGGTCGCGGACACCACTAGGATTCAGACTTCCACCGCCATCAAGCATCTGTTTCTTCGGTCTTACCACTACGGTCATCTGCTCTTCTTCCAGCTGCGGCAGCTCCTTATCATCCCAAGCGCGGGCATCCGTATCCCCTTTATTGCTGTCGATACACATCTTCCACTGCATTAGGAGGCTGCGCGGAGAAAAGAGCCACGACGTACATCATACACATGGCATCATCTTCATGCCGCAACCCCAAACCCCCAACACACTCAGAGCCACCCACGCCAGAGACACTAAAACACCGACGCATACTACCACAGCTCGCGGTCAACCACCAACACGAAGGGTAGCTCAGACACCATTGCGATGACGTCCATCAAGTCTTTGGTTCCCTCGTCATCGGGTGGGAAACAGACACACTGCTGACGATCGTAAAACTTCCACAAACCATCCTTCGTGGCCCAACGTGTGGTGCCTTCCTCGCCCTGGAAGAATACCTGCAGGAACGCAGCGAGTACGCGACGGTTGAGACACTCAATCAAGAACATGCGCAGCCGCATGTCCGCGAGCTCGTCCCCGTTGAGACGCTGCAGCCGATTGCGGTTCCGCCCCTCTTCGTCGGTGATGGCCGAGACGAGCTGCAGCGCGCCACCCACCGCCACGCCATTCAGGTCCCTAGTGCCCTCCTGCAGGTGCGCAGCAAACTCCTTCACCGCGTCCCACACGCGGTGGGTGCGCACCAGGCCGTGGGAGGTGCGGAAGCCGGCACCGAGGAGGGCGACCACGGCGGGAAGGAGCCGCTCCTGCACGATGAGGCCGCTCTCCTTGTGCAGCCCCTCGTCGAAGAGGCCCCGGGCGTTCTCCGCAGACGCGTGAAGGCCGAGCACCGCAAGCTCGTGGGCGAAGTAGTTCGACAGGGCACCGACAGCGGACCGCAGCAGCTCGATGCAGTATTGCAGCACCACTGGCCGCGGCACATCACCCAGTTTCCCCTGCTGCTCACCCGGCGTGGTGCCGACACCGATTTTTTCATCCACCGTCATTTCGCGTGCAATAGGGTTGTACGCCGCGGACGCGCCGCTCACCATCGACGACCAGTCAGCCTGCTCACCCAAGCGGGCCAGCACCAGCAGGTCATGCAGTCCATAGTTGAGCAAGGCATCCTTGAAGAGAACCTCACCCCTGCCTCTCGGCCCAAGCTGCGCAATCTCGTACACAGCGCGCTCCAGCAACTTTTGCTGCAACATGTAGGCGATAAGAATGTAGCTGCTGCTCCGCCCCCTCGTGGCGTTGTACTTCTTGATGCGCTCGAAATCGCTCAACAGACGGTTCGTGTAGGGCGCCAGATAATCCCCGGACACATTGTACTGACCAACAAACCGCAGGAAGTCGAAAACGTCACGCTCCGTCTTGCGAAAAAGGCTCCCAGAGGGCTTCAAACGATGGTGAAACACACTGTGCCACAGCTGCACGACATCAGACAATTTCTTTTCATACCCTTCACGCGACTTCGCCGCCTCGTCGAGGGGACGCTTGCCGGTGAACTGCAGCATCTCCAGTGTGGCGACGTGCAGCTGACCCATCAATCGCTCCGCGGGCTCAGCCGAGTGTGGGTCGTACACACGTGAGACCTCCAGAATGAGCGGCGCCCCCTCATGTGTGTCACTCTCTTCGGCCAACATCGGCGTCTCTCTCTTCGCCTGCGGTGGGTCTTTACCTTCGTCTTCGTCTTCGCCGCCACCGTTTTTGCTGTTGCTGCTACCCGTCACTACAGCCGCTTGCTGCCGGGCCCGCATCGCCGCGAGCACTTCGATGGCGCCATCCACAACGTCGTCCATGTATCCGGCCGCCCTCGCCGCGTCAATATGGGTCTGCAGCAGCTCCGTATTCTTCAGTGTGAAGGCGTTGTGGATGCCGCGGTGCAGCCGAGAAACCCAGAGGCGCTGCTCGGCCGACGCCAACCATAGAGTCCGCACTTTGGCAATGACGTCTGCCATCAATTCTCCCTCGTGGGACTGGACGTACTCCACCAATTCCCGTGGCTTGTGCGTGTCGATGAGTTGCTGCAGTTCGGGCGGCACTACTGCCGCACCCTCCGCGCTGCCGTCCGTAAGGTCCAACGCGGCGTAGTTCCCGGTCCCCGTTCCGTGGCCCGCGAGAAACTCTTGCCCGCGTGCCGTGGCCGCTTTGAGGTGAGCGAGCATCTTATCGATAGAGTGCTGAACGCCTCGCTCAGCTGGGGAGGTCGCGTACGTGGACGGCCCGCACTGCAAATCCTTCTGGAAGACGACGCAATGCTGCACGTACTGTCGTACGTATGGGAAGGAACTCGATCGCATCGCGTCATCAAGCGAGGCACACAACTTGCGCGTGCGACTTTGCCACACCTGAAGGCATTCTGCGCGCCGCCGCCGGCTCACCTCGGCCTCCTGGCGCTCGCGCTTTTCTGTCGCGTGCCGCTCGTATTCCTCCTTCTGGCGCAGCTCCGCCTCGTAGCGGTCTTGCGCCTCCTTTGCCTGCCGCTGCATGGAGCCATGCAACGTAAGGCGGTGTTCCTCCTCCTCCAGAATGCTCATTTGCAGCTGCATCAGGCGTCGATCCCGCCGTGCAAACGGCAGGTCGGACGGAAGTTGACGCAACGCCTCCTCGCAGAAGCCACGCAACTCCAAAACTTCTGCAAGTCCCCAATCGCGTATCTTTCGGCGGGCGGTGATACGTTCAACAAGGCGTTCTGTCGTGTTGTGGGCCGCATGGTGTTCACGGTGCCTGTCAAGCTGATCCCATCCCCACCGAATTTTCTCAGTCAGTTCGTCGGAAGAGCAGCGCTCCGCAAATCGCAGGACACACTTCAGCAAAGCTGCATCACCCAACAGCGCTGCTGCATCAATGGCGTCACGCGTCGCCTTGTTCGTTTTCCTTGAACTCTCTTCCTGGATTTCGCTGCCCGAGACGCCACCAGCAGTGGCAATTGGGAACGCCTCCTCCACACTGGAAACGGGAACCTCGAGCTGACGGGCGGCCTCCAGAAGCAGCACCATCACCTTCTCTGTCGGCATCTCTTCGATTCCTGCAGCAATGGCCCTCTGATGCACCTGTAGCTGTGCAATGAACTTTTCCTGTTGGCCACAGAGATCAACGCGAAGACGCAACTTGTCAAGCAAATCCACCCGGACATCACTTTCCATTGCCTTCTCGAATAAGGCCTGTAGCGTGCCTTCTGCTTCCTTCAATGGGGGGCGTGTGCTGCTGCAGAGGAACTCTGTAATTGCATTCACAGCAAATTTCTGACGTTTCAGTTTCTCGTGCTTTTCGCGGTGCACCTCCACCAAAACCCGCAAGGAGTCGTGCTCTGTCGCCCTCTCAATGGCGGCCTCATACATGTCCAAGTCCCCTGTCAATATTGACTTCTGCAGATGCTCAACTGCGAGCGCTATTTTCATGAACTGATCAAGGAGCATTTGCGCACGCGCCACCTCGTGGTGCGTGGTGCTACGTAGGGAAAAACGGTAGGCCCTTCGGTGCGCAAACTCCAGCACCGTCTTTGAGAGGTTGAGGCTCTTATACACCTCTTCCCATGTAAACGCCCCGGTATCGGTTGCAGAGTCAGACCTTTTATCCGGTAGGTGACGCCTGGAAGCCGTCTTCAAGGCTGCCTCATGCTTAGCAATAGCAGCTGCAAGGTAGCGGCGATGCAGAGATTCCATCCTCGTTTTAGTTTCCTTTGCAGAGCGGTTCGCCTGCATCTTGTCGAATTGCGAAGGCTTTTCCAGATGCCCCAACGACGCAATGTGAGTCAGTGTTGTTGTAGGAAGCGCATATTCGGCAATGTTATGGCGATAACCACGCCGTTCGTTAGGAAGGTACAAATCGTAATCCGTCCACAGTGCGTAGGCTTCCTGCAGCTGCGCGAGAAACTCATTCCCACGATTATCGATGCTAAAGTACATGTCGTACTCCTTCGGAACTGTTATCAATAAGGCATCAGGCTCAGCACGGCTGAGGTACACCTCCTTGAGGTCAAGCAGCTCCGTCCGCCGCACAATATCAAGACCGTCATTGGTGCACCAATAAATGGCGCAGTTTGTTATAACAATGATGAACGCTTTGTGCGTCGAGCTCCTTGGTGGGTTCCCATCCTTCACTGGTGAATCCGGCGGGAGTGGGAACTGCTGCTGCTGCTGCTTCATCTTCTTGAGCACCGACGCCCGGCAGCGCCACGCCACGCCAGAGAAGTAGATGGCGTTGTCACCGAAGCGGCGGCAGGCCTCTGCGATCTCTGGTACGACGGCAAGATGGAGATCGTCGCATGCGTAGCGTTTCATTACTGAGCGAAGTGCAATAGTGGGTTTTGGATCGAACACTGTTTTCTTAAGCGCATTGCGAACATTTTCCGCGCGAGGAACAGTATAGAGTGGGAGCATTTCATAGGCATGTGGGGGTCTACGGTTACGTTTAACGTAACTCTGCGCTGACGAGGAAATAAACCACTCCATGTTCCGTTTGCTCTCGACATCCAGCATGTAGTCACACGACTGCCCCGAGCCTGTCATGATGCCCACAACAGTCCCATACTCCGCGCGGCACTGGATTATACCGATGACGTCTGGCCAGGCGAGAAACACGGCAACACGGGGATCCTGTGTGCCGATGCTGTCTATGTGATTTACGTCTGACCCTGTTGTGACTCTGCCGCCGAGCAGCGGGCTCTTGAAAGCCCGGCGCAGCCTCCCCACCTCATCACTATGACGCAGGAGCAGAATGCCATTGGTGGAGATGCATACTACCCGACGTACGCCATGTTGACGCAACGAATTGTCGCTAAAGACGGTGCCACCAGGGAACGACCTAACGTCAAATTCACAACACAACGAGGAGTATTGAATGCGTCCCACGTCAAAGTCTGTCGAAAAGCTCCTGTTAAGCGCCAACATATCCATTTTCAGGGATGGTGTCCCTAGAAGCATTCGCCACTCATCTTCAAATTCAAGGATGAGCTCCTCAACGAAGCGGTACTGCACCAAGAATTCGCGACTCCCCGGTGTCTTTTCCAGCAAGTCGTTCTCCAAGTCGTCTGCCCCCACAACCGGGGTCTCCGCTCTGTTGCCTTTCAGCTTACCGAAGTAAGATCTAAGCCACACGGGTTTCACAGACGATAGCACACGCCGCGGGATCATAATACTCCTCTTGACAGCATCACTAGCTGTCTGAGGGCTGGGTGAATCCTTCAGCTTGCACAATTCTGTGAGTTGAGCTTGAGCATACAACTGCTTTGACGGAGTAGCAGATATCTTAACGCCATTGCACTGCAGCACCACTTCCGGCACCAACTCAACAAGTCGGGCGAATTCACCGCTTGATTGGACCGTAAAGAGGGTGTCTACCTCGGTGCAGTGCAGTAATATGTTCTGCGAGTCCCTGTCAAACTGAACGGTTAGCACATCAGTTAATGAGATGCGGTGACTCACCTTCACCATTGTGTCGCTGACAAGGTAGACAGCCCCGTCCGTGATAATCAATGCCCGTAGCTGCAGCTGACGATCTTCTTTAATGCGCATAACCATGGAAGACCAAAACACGACTGACTCAGCGTGAGCGCGGAAAATAGGGAAAAGTTCCTGGTTAGTTCCGGCGTGCATGCGGTCCTCTGGACGAGACATTAATGGTAAATGCTGTTCATCCACGCTACGCCTTATTACAGCCTTCACATTTTCAACCTCGCGGAAAATAAAACGTTGTCCTGAGTGGTGATCCAGATGTATTTTGTAAAGGTGTGCAATCAATTGTAGTTTTACTTCCGCCTCGTCGCCACCTACGCGCGAATTTTGCTTATGAAAGCGGATGAGCACATCGTGGAAGGAGGGAACGAGAATTGCCAGAACATTTTTCTCTACTGTGCTCTCAATCACGCCAACCACCTGGCTCGTGTCAATGCACCGTGCGTACGCACCACCGGTAAGTCTGTTTTGGGCGATCAGATAGAGGTACCGTGGTGTTACGATGAGATCCCGCTCCTGCACTGTGTCGTGCTTCCCAATCTTCTCAACACATCGAGAAAATACGACATTCGGCAAGCCATCTCCTTGTTTGAAGTGTTCACTCAGGGCCGCCAACTTGTACTCGATATGCGAGTACCGTTGCCAGGCCTTGGGGAGGAGGACGCGTGCGTGAATATCCGCCGGGCCTTTGGGTGACGCTGAACTTGCCGGTATCGGAAGGCGCAGTGCGTGGCCGACACTCTCCTCTTCGCCACTCATATAATCCTCGAGGTTTTCATCTGCGGTGTGAGACGAAAGCTCTGCCCCTGTCTCTGTTTTTTCGTCCCTTTCCTCCCTCGGAGATTGCAGCGGCTCAGACTGCATCTTTCCCTGGAGGTGTAATTTCACCTCATCATCAGCGTCAGTACCACGTACAATTGAGGCATTCGCGTTTGAATGAATTGCCCTGGAGGACGTTCGGCTATGCAGCACAGCACTTCGGCGTTCTTGCTCGATACACCTGGCGACCAAAGCAGATATTGTGTGACTCCCCTCACTTCCTGGTGTCAGTGGCACAGGCCTCGCTAGTCCGCTCATGAGCTGCAGCGCTGCGAGGATAAACGTGACCCATTCTTTCCGTATTGCCTCATTCTCACAACAGAAGAGCAACTCCTTGCCGTTGATGTACATGAACCAGCCAAAATCCGCCTTGGATCTGGGTGCCTGGGCTGCAAGGAGAACATCACGAGTGGCGTAGTTTGCGGCCCTTATAGCCTCCAACGGGATCACTTTTTCCCGCCTCCCAACACCCCTCCCGTAGCAGACGGCGTTTCCCTCAACAAACGCATAGCGCCGCTTCCACTCCCGCGCTCCAAGGTTTCGCACACCAAAAAAGGACGCCGCCACGCCCCCCAGATTGCCCTCAATCACCTTCTTGGAGCGTGGCTTCCACATCCACGCAGCAGTTGGAAGTATTGACGGTACCTGCGACTGCTGCTGCTGCTTCGGATACTGAGACATTATTACACAACAGGAAAACGCCTGCACACACCTTTGCAAACGACAAAAAAGTAGTCGATAAAACTATATATATATATATATATATTACGCATACAGGTGTACTATATACTATCGCTTTAAGGAAAATAAAATTAAAGGCGAAAACAGAAAAAAAAGCATTTAACAAACAAATCTCAAAGAAGATAATCGGAAACCTTAAAACAGCAACATACACAGATCGCTCATTATGATGTTCTTGACTGCACTTATACATACAAAGGCATTTTGATTTCCACAGGCTTGCACCACGCCAAGTGAGATCGTTCCAATGTTCTCTATCGCAAGGTCAGTCGAGCGGGCATTCCACCACGTGTGGAAGCTAGCAATTGCTGCTGGGACTGCACGGCTCCACTTGTGTCGAAAAACTGCATACAGAAGACACAAAGCTCTTCTCTCTTGTAAAGCTGAGATGGTGGTGGCATACGATCACCGCGGCGCACATCAATGCCCCATTTCTGCCGAAGTTCCAATATAGACTTATGCGTGATTGCTCCAGGGAGTTCATCCACATAAAAAATTTGTAGGCAAAGCGCACACTTCTTTCTCTTTTGGAGGCCTTGCTTCACACGAAGCTGCAACAGCTCGGGAGTAATCGGTTCTTCCTTGGTCCTCGGAGGCATTCCTTCTGGCTGAAATCTACCTTGAACGAAACAACAAGAAGAAAAAAAAAGCAAATCAACATACAATAATAAAAACACGAAAAAAAAAACACGGGCGAATAATGGGAACCAAGAAACACCACACCTGACCACAGTGCAAATAGTATTAGTAGTGATAATAATAATGACAATAACCAAACAGCAAGCCTTTTATGTATAAACTCCGAAAAACAGCGAACCATGTTTCAAACTATTCGATGGCAGCTTCATCTCCATTATCCTCATCATCGAGAACATTATCAAGTTGTCGGTCAGAGGCAAACTCTGTGAATTCCACCTCTCGTTTCGTCTCCCCTTCTGTTGAAGATGTCTTTCTCTTTCGACGACGTTTTTTAAGAGGTGACTCTGAAGCATGAGAGAGATTGTCAAGGTGTGCGGTTTCATCGGCGTTGTACTCATCGTTTAAGGGAATGACGGTCGAGTCCATTAGATGGGGAAGACCTTTCTCCTCCAGAATACTGTAATCGGTTGAATTAAAACAAAAAAGCGATCGCGCACACCGCAACGAAACCTCAAATCCTAGAAAAGACTGTGCACCCCCTAAGAGACTGTAGGATGGTCCAAGCTGTACCTTCTTTCTTTCATCAAGGATCTTTGCAAACGAAGGATTAAAAAAGTTGTAAACTACCTGATCACACACCTCGTACAGTGCACTGTGGGAATCCTTGCCGTTGGACAAAATGTCTCGCATCACGATCAGAAAAGGTGCACTGAAGAATACGTTATCATTCCCTTCGACGAGAAGAGAATTGATCAAGTACACTAAGCCTGTATTCACGTCTGCAGGGTTTGCTCTCCAATGACGGAGTGAAGAGAGAAGTAGTTGAATATTTTTTACCGTTGCGAGCCGCTTGAAGTAATTCCCCAGGCTTACTTCTCTCTCCGAACTCAAGGTAGAGACAATTGCACGACCACTTGATGTTAATGAAACATTTTCTATAGAAACTTCCCTCTCGTCAACATCAGCTACAGGCATCTCGTTTAGCTCCACATCCTTCAAAGCAAGCGGTGTAGGAGACTTCATCATTTCAATTGTTTTTGGTATGACGTCATCACTTTCCAACTCATTGATCATTTCAGAGAGTGATGAAGTTGCAATATCCTCGTTCTCCATAGGGTCAGATTCCAGAAGATCAGGATTACCTGTATCTTCTGCTTCCTGTCTCACAGTTGTGTCGTTCCGCCTTTCCCTTTTTGGAAACAACACACTTCCGCGAAAGCTGCATTTTTCCATAAGGCGCAGAACAGAATATACCAACAATACAAATACTCCAGCCTTACAAGGAGGAATAACCTTTGCAGAGGTCCTTGATATGGCATCAAAGATCAACGTGATGCTTTCCTCACAGTAAACAACAGACGATGCCAAAGCACGTGCAGCCACAATGACGGCTGAATCCTTTACAATGTCTCCATCCACCAAGTGATTGAGTGTCATGAGTAACTCAGTAAGATAAGTTGCCACGTTGGTAACATCGAAGCGCTTTTTTAAATCTGGTGAACTAAGAAAAACACGAAGCAACTCGAAGCCACATCGCATATGATCGAGAGTAATAACGTTTGAAATCGATCGCCATTGTTGATGAAAAGCTGCAGAAGGCACATCTCCATTTTCATTTCGGCTCAAACGAACAACTTCTCTTGTGTAGCGGAGTAGTAGAGCACATATGTCTGCATGATCCAGAACGTTTTGAACAGAATCATACACAGACTTTTCAAGCTGTGTAGGTAACTCAATGTCCTCACCAGAGCTTTTGTACCCTGCGATGAGTTCATTGCGTTCCCTTACAATACTCTCGAAACCGTCAATAGTCCGTGCTAATCGATTCCACACCATTAAATTCAGAGGCTCAAAACCATAGCATATGAAGGAGAGACATTGCTGGGAAAGTTGTATTTTAGTTGGCAGTGGAAGATTGCACATTGTCATCGTATCATCCGTCATTCCCTTGACATAGCGCCCCTTCTTTCGTGAATCAATATCTCGGACCTTCTCAAGTGGATCTTTGCTCCTTAATCCAAGAAGCGTTGAAGTAGAGCCAATTGCTCCGCCCTCTCCATTCAACCGTGAGACAGGTGTTCCTCGCACAAGCAAACTATTTGAGCTTATAGCACCATTTCGACTCCGCGCAACACACCTCCATCGATCCGATTCTTTTTTACATTCCCGAAATCGCTTTCCACTCTCAAACAATCCCATGATTTGATATGATGATTGTTTCTGAAAGCTGGAAACAAACCCAAGTTGCGCCAATTCCACAGGATCGGCACAGCGAAGAATTGCGGCCATTGCGGTCACAATATACATATTCCACTTCCACAGCTGCTCATCACCTTCAAGAAGCTCCAGCATGCATGCATTGTATTTTCTGTTATCAGTTTCTTTTTCAGCAATCTGCTCATCGCTACTAGAGCCTTCACTCTCCGTTCCTTCTTCCTCTTCCTCTTCTTCTTGTTCCTCCTCTTTTACTCTTCCATCATTCCCATCATATTCCATTTCCGCCACGGCTCCTTTCTCTTCGTTATCATCATCAAGTAACACTATAGTATCGTTGTTTTTTTCTTGTTCAGGATTCAATGTTTCAGTATTCACCGAAGGTTGTACTACATCCGCACCTTTTCTCGACTCAGTGCGAGCATAGTTTTGATTCAGTACGACGAGAAACAGCTCAATGCCATGATTTCGGCTAAATGCACCAATGGCTGGGACAATACTCTCACTGGGTCCAGTAAAAAAATGAGTTAGCAGTTTCAAAACAACCTCCAACAAAACGACATCCTCCCGCTGCAAGTCACCCTTTGAACGCTTCTCAGCCACTGGAGCAACACACTGAATCAGTAATGTGAAAAACTCATCTGTTCCACACCGCTCCACTAGACGACGAATATAATCCACCTGACGCGGAATTTCTAGAGAATGTGCTGGAACAGGCAGAAGCATTGATGTCAAAAGCTTCAGAAGCTGGGGCAACAATGTTGAGCTAAAATTCATCCCATGGGCCAGTAGAAGTGGGACGACAACATTTTCCATAACCATCATTTCACTTATAAACAAGAAATCCTGTCTGGAAATTTTTTGGACCTGAGAAGAAACACCCATAGACTGAAATTCTGCGTTTCCCTCATTTTCCTCGCCGCTATCACTATCATCATAAAGCTGCTTCTGACGAAGAGCTTCGACTTGTTCCTCAACACGGGCATACTCACGCAAAACACGATTCCGAAGCAGCTTTGCTGCAGAGCATGCTTCAGCTATCTTATGTTCGCTCGGTAATTTGGCTAACGGCACGTTTAGGGAGCTAATAGCCGTAAGTATCTGTTTCTTAACAGCTTCTGAGGACATGTATGCTCTGTGAAGGTATCAATTGCATACGACCAAAAAAAAAGAAAAAAAACAACGAAGAAACCAAAGAACACAATAAAACAAATAAATAAGGGAGGACAAAGGATAACGTCACAATAAACCAGAAACAGGGACGCAACAGAAGTCACCAATTTGCAGAAAACTTTGAAAGCAACACATCATTAGGCAAAAAGAGAGAAAACACGATTGCAATTTAACTGCATTGTCCCGAAAAAAAAAAAAGGACAAAGAGGAGAGAGGGGAAACTAAAAAAAAAAACAGCGTACTGTAGTATACTACTTTACCTAGTGAAAGGGAATAAAAATCACACATAGACCTGCGTTGTCATCGTTTCAGCTTCACCAATAGATTTTCGAGGGACATATAGACTCTTGTTCATATCATAGCCCTCAAAAAAGACTGGTAACCGGGGATTATACCCAACTGATGCAGGGTGTTGCACTTTTCGTAGCAGCAGTTCAGGGATAAGTTTTTCCCCATTCTTTCGATTTTGACCATTGTAAGGAGGAAGGACGATGTACCAAGGCATATCAAGCCACTCAAAGTTCCCAGCCTTGGGATTCTTATCTTCTGTCAGAAAAACGGGAAAGCGAACTGCTATAACTGCACGTTCTCTTGTGCCAGCCACCTCGCATATCTCACCCACAACAAACCTGTAGTCTGCGTTGTGCAGCACATCAGTCGATACAGAAGCACACCGCCTTTCCATCCAAGACAGCCAGTTGAGAGCGTCGAAGGCTAGAGACGCTTTCTCTCCGCTATGAACTGCCTTTTGAATACTCTCTTCCAATTTCAAGAGGTTTCCACCTGATGGGTCCAAAACATATGGAAAGAGACATTGATAATGACGAACTACATGCCTCACGCCATAGGGGTGAAGGGTTGCAAAGTAGGGCAGGAGCACCTCATTATATAGTTTCTTGTGACGCAAAATGGCCCTAACAAGGGTATAGTGAAGCGACGGCATCGCACTACTATACCGACCAACTATTGATATGGTTGCAAAAAAAAAA